CCTCCCCTCTAGAACCCTCAGTTTGTTTCTCAGAGTCCGTAGTCTCTCATGGTTCGTCTCCCCCTCCGATCCCCCCCCTTCATTTTTCCTTTCCAACTATCTTGTTTCAGAGGTACAGGTCTGTGATTCATCAGTCTTACACAATTCACAGCACTTACCATAGTACATACCCTCCCCAATGTCCATCACCCAGCCACCCCATCCCTCCAATGTTATGATTAATTTTAAATGCCATTTGAAACTCATCTATCATCCCATCTAAATAACTTATGTACATGGGGGCTTTGAAAAGACTTTTTAATGCAGAAAAGGCGCTCCACTGTGGAGCTTCTCCAAGGCACACGGTCTTACCAGCAGGTGTAGCTGTGGATTTGGGCGCCGGAAGCAAACTCCTGCGGGGTGTTGTCACACTGGAGGATGCTGGAGGAGCTGCCCGGCTGGCCCCCTTGGGGGTGTCTTTGGAAGGCAGAGCTGCCTTCAGAGCCGGCTGGTCTTCATTCCCAAAGGTTGACCCTGTGGGAGGCAGAGTGTGTTAATTATAACCTTATGAAAAATGGATGGACCCTCCTTGCCATTTGCAATTGCCAACCAATCCTAACGCCGTCATCTGCTTTAGAACTTGACCTGACTCTTAGTGAGTGGCCTTGAAAAACATTTCTCTGGAACCAGAAGTGGAAAAGAGCTCCCTTTAGTCATCGCAGAAGTCTGTCATTCAAATCCTCTGTGCAAGGGGCTCCACAAAAGACAAGAGCAGCCTCTGAAGATTTTCAATCCGTGTGTGCATGTGCACACACACACACACACACACAATTTGCTTATGTGGATGTGTAATTGTGTGTAAAATATGCATTTATTTGATAACTCACGGAGGATGAGCAATCCTTTTGCTGAAAACTAGTGTGAGTGACCCAGGAGAGCTGAGAGTAAGAAGAGATGTGTGCTGCTCCAAGAAGGTCATGGAGAACCTCCTGACACCCAAGTTATTTGACCTTCAGAACAAGAGGCATGGGGTGAAGGTAGAGTCGTACGGAGCATGGGGACAGAGAATCTCTCTGACAGCCATGAAGTTTTTGCCCGAAAAGCTGAGGCCTCACCAAACTACGAAGCCCCTAAATTAGAGCCTAGCTTATTGCAAAGGCAGAAGATGCTTATTGATCATTTCAATTTACTATTCAATATAGAAACAGACTCTTTGTCTACAGGACAGTTTGTTTATAAATGAGTGCTCTGATACTCTGAACATATGGCATACTGGGATATGTGTCAGGTTTAAATGCACAAGGCCCCAAGTTTTCTTCTAGATCTTTCCAAACCTACTGTGGCTTATACATCTGTCATCTCTTAAAGACAATGACACCACCATCTAGTCCCTGTTAAAGGATCAGTCTTTTAAGTACACCTCTGAAAACAGCTGCAAGGCCCAATCCACTAAATTAAATAGAGCCTGAATGTATTGGAACTACTGCTTGTTTGGAATGAAACTATCCAGTTAGAAACGTGACCATGTACTGTGGAAAAAATGCAATGACAGCTGGAAGTAGTATACAGAATTTTAGAGAAAGATTAAATTTTTTGTTTTTATTCATTTTAAAAGGATAGGCATAACATTCTATTTAGATAGGGCCTGCATAAAAATGATAACATTATTCAAATAGCTTTAATATTCAAAACATCCAGGAATTTCATTCAACCACTTAGAGTAAGAGATTGCTGCTTTCCTCCCTCTGAAGACCTGAAAGTCTGTTTAAAATCGGTGAGATTTGTTTTGTTTCTAAAGAAAAACGTATTTAGGAAAGAAAAATAAAGAATGTGCTATTTCCCAGCACAGAGCCTATGTCCTACAGTTCTTTTTAGGTCTGTGCAAGGTTTTACATAGTTCTAAACAGGGCTAGGAGAACGCATTTGATCTATGCAAACAGAACAAATGCATCGAATCTTGACCAAAAGATCTGCCCTGTATCCTGAATGTCAGATAAAGAAGCACCTGTTTGATCCAAAAACTTCATCAGGAAAAGGGACACCACACACCTGAAAAAAATAAGTCTTAGCATCTGAATAATCCCGTGGGCTCACCAGTCCAATCCTAGAATTTAGAGGATCTCTGGAGGTTTGCAGGATGTTTCAGACGGAAGGAAGGGGCCCAGCCATTGTATAGATTTCACATGGAATTACGTACTACTTAGCTTACCACTGACATATTGCTGGAATAATCTATTCACTAAAGTATGTAGTGGAAGCTGAATTGAACATAAAAAGTTTCACACAGAGTCTTTTACTTAATTATTAAAGTTTCTTAAGGGAAATGTTTTGTATCATTTGTAAAGTTCAAATGCCCTTTTATCAAAACCTCTTGCACCTGGCATTGTCCTCATACTGAAATTTATTATTCAGAGCACATGTCAATTTAGAGATTTGGCAGCTTTCCAGGGTGGGAAGGAATTCATCTACTTGAAGTACAAAGTGTCAAGGAAGCTATGTGGGTGATGTACTCTCCTCTGAGGTCTTGAATTAACAAAAAAAGAAAATAAAGCAAAATAAAATAAAATAGAACTCTATTCTTGTCCACCCTTGTGGGATATAGCTGGCAGTTAACAGTATTACTCTTTGAAAACTAGCTTAAGTCAGCCAGTAATTAAAGACTCATTATTTAGTAAATGAAAAGTGTTCAGAATGGCTGCTGAATTCTATAAATGTTCCTGCTACTTCTCAACAATGCAGGCAACATTAAACCACGGTTTGATAAGAGGAAGAAAATAACTGGAAATAAACAAACTGCTTGTGTAAGCCAGGAAAATGTTCCGTTGTCAGAGTCAGTCGGTGGAGGTGGTTCATGAGTCTAATTCTGTCCCCAAATCTGGCCCGAATGATCCAGGTTATCACCTGGATAAATGGTGCAGCCCGAGGAGCAGAACAGCCAGGGTTCGCACACCCCCTCCTCCACCTCCCACCTCTCTGCCCCTCCGTTTCTTCCTCTGCAAGCACGGATACTGAGCATGGACCTCACAGAGCCATTGTGGGAAGGAAAAGAGCTAATGCTCTTTTTTTAAATGTGAATTTTTAAATGTTAAAGCAAGAGTCAGGACAAGAAAAGAGTGGCGTCTGGTGCATAGTGAGCTCTTCTGTGTTAGTTACGAACACACACAGGCTAGTTTTCAGTTCAGCGGTTGGTCATTACAGCAAATCAGTTTTTCATGGGAACCTCCAACGTATCCAGGGATTAATTTCAGATGCACTGCTGCAAGTGGGAAGAAAGGAAAGGATTGAAATAAATCTGACAGCAACTGCAGGATGGAAGACTAAAGAGATACAGTGTGATTGTCCTTCAAAACATAGGATGAACTAGTTGAGACACAGGAAAAGGGGAGAATCAGGACATAAGGGACCATCACGCTTGAGAGTATCGAACATTGCAGGTTCCAGTGCGAGTGAAACTGTTAGGACCCAGGGCATGAGCATGATATCAAAACAGCTTTCCAGATTGCTTGTTGCAATTCGCACCCACCACAGGTAGTGACTGTCAGACTTTAATTATGAAATTCGTTTTAATTTCTAGATCTCTGACAGGCAGTGAGGTGGAACACTTTTTTCATATTCAATTTTTTTCTTCCATAAGATACCCGCTCATAACCTCTGCCCATTTTTCTACGGAAGTATTTTGCTTTTCTAATTGACAGGTAGTTTTTTTTTTTTTTTAATATTCCGGATACTGATCCTTTCTTGGTATATATTTCAAACGCTCTCCCAGTCTTTGACTAGCTTCCACGGTGGTGCCTTTATTCAGAATTCTTTCATTTTAATGTAGTTGATTTTTCTCAGTCTTTCCCCACTTGATTTGTACGTTATGTGTCTTAGCTTTTCATTGTCTACCTGAGATAATAAAGATGTTCTCCTACGTATTCTTCTAAAAGGTTTAAAACTTTGTTGTTCACATTAGTCACTAATCCACCTGGAATGGAGCATGGAGTAGGGGCTGGATTTCTTGTTGCTGTTTTCTATATAGACCGCCAATTATCCCAGCCCTGTATATTGGACAGTCCATCTTCTCTGCAATATCTGACCACCAGCTGTTGTGTGTCAAGGTTCCATACAGGCCTGATTATTAGAGTAAGCTAACAACCCTCAAATTTCAGTAATTTAACGGGGCGCCTGGGTAGCTCAGTCGGTAAAGCGTCTGCCTTTAGCTCAGGTCATGATCCCAGGGTCCTGGGATTGAGCCCCATGTCTGGCCCCTGCTCAGCGGGGAGCCTGCTTCTCTCTCTCCCTCTGTCCCTCCCTCCTCCCCTCCGCTCGTTCTCTCTCAAATAAATAAATAAAATCTTTAAAATTTTTTTCAGTAATTTAACATAACAAAAGTTTATCTCTCAATCATGAATCATCTCACACCGGTAATCTGGATAATCTGCCATCCTGGGGAGCTCTACTCCAGGCAAGAACTCAGGGACTCTGGCTCCTTCCATCTTGTGTTCTTGCCCTACTCTGGGGTTCTCAAGAGACATTAATATGCAGTTGGCATATGGGGAGAAAATGAATTATTCATGGAAGGATTTTTTGGGTCAGGCCTGGAAGTCGGGTGTAACACTTCTGCCATGAGTCCAATGGCTAGGAAATGTAGTTTAGTTTATGCCCAGGAGAAAAAGGGAATCATTTGGTGAACACCTATCCAATCTGCCACTTGAGGCTCCATTTCTAAACTCTATATTTGTTTCATTGATCTCTTTCTCTATCACTATACCAATACCATACCATATATATTTACTATCATATAAGACAAGTACCTCCAACTTCGTTCTTTTACTTTACAATTGTCTTGACCCAAATACTCTTGACCTTTCTCTTACATATAAATTCTAGAATCTGGGGTACCTGGGTGGCTCAGTCGTTAGGTGTCTGCCTTCGGTTCGGGTCATGATCTCAGGATCCCGGGATTGAGCCCCACGTCGGGCTCCCTGCTCAGCAGGGAGTCTGCTTCTCCCTCTCCCTCTACCTGCCTCTCCCCCTGCTTGTGTGCACGCTCGCTCTCTCTCTCTCTCTCATATAAATAAATAAAATCTTTAAAAAAAAAATTCTAGAATCTACTTGTCAAGTTCCAGGAAAAGTGGTCAGAATTTCCAATTAGATACAATTAAATCTTCTTTCTGAACTGCAACATAACTGAAGGAAGAGCAAGGGCAGATCTCATGTAACAGGCCATGGAGAGCAAGGGCTAATACACGTTAGCTCGGCAAACATATGCTGAGCACCAATTATGCTCTAGGTGCCATGTTAGATGACAGAGATACAAAGAAGGCAGAGTTCCATGAAAAAGCAAACACCAAACAAGTGCTTCTAAAAAAAGGCAGCACTAAAAATAATAATAATAAAATTTAAAAAATAATAAAATGGGGCGCCTGGGTGGCTCCGCCAGTTAAGTGTCTGACTCTTGATTTCAGCTCAGGTCATGATTTCAGGGTCGTGAGATGGAGCCCTGCATTGGGCTCCGTGGTCAGCCAGGAATCTGCTTCTCTCCTTCTCCC